AAAATGAGTTTCCATATATTAGTTTATAGAGGTTACCATATAAAATGAGTTTCCATATAAAGTGACCATATAAAGTGAGTTTATGTAAAGTTTGTATTTAGAAAAGCGAAGCAGCTTTTTATTATTTTAGACAAAGAATTTTACCGTATGTTCTAATTTACCCTAAATACGGTAAAATTCAAAGAATTTTACCGTATGTAGGGTTGTTCGCCGAATGTTGATTATTTTATATTGTTTTTATCAAATTATAAAAATAAGGGGATTTCTTTTTTGTAAAAAAAACTAAAAAATCACCAAAAATAAATAAATAAAAAATTTATATAAAATGTTTTGTAAGGAGGATCCGCGCTTTAATAGAGAAAAAATGAATAAGATATGACAAATAAAAATGAACAAAATAGAAATGACGAATTTTTACAAACGAGGAAATTTTTTTTTTAATTCCATCAGCACCTCGTACGGTCATGGAGCATTGCGGATGAGTATTTAATTTAAAGCTCACTTCTCCTTCCTAACCAATTTTGCGAAATCTGTCCAGAAGTGCAGTTTTAACCACAAATCCTTTGTTTCTGAAACAAGTGCGCTGTCACTGCGCCACGGCTGCTCAAAAAATACAATTTTTATTTTAAGAAATATATTGCAAGGTAGTAATTTTATTTCTTGTAACAAGAAATATAATCTATTTCTCAGCAAATTCAGAAATCCATTGTCCGTAGTGCAGCATTGAGCAATGAGCCCAGAGTTATTAGGAACTCAAAATTTGGTAAAAAAGTTATTTGAGACCCAAAATGCAGTAGTATTATAGCGGTGTAGTGGTAGAGCACTGGCTCAAAAACGAGTGGTTCCGAGTTTGATCCTAACCACATCCCTGGTAGTACCGTGTTTAACTTGTTTCTCTGCGCAGTGCCCATGTTTGCCAAGGTTCGTATTTCAGAGTTATGTAGTTGAGAGAGGGTTATAACTACAAATAATTAGCTTACTTGTCTGTAGTAGCCTTTTTGGTTCAGGGAGGTGAATTAACAAAATAACAACAAAAAAAAATTACCAACTTAAAAAAAAAAAATCAAAATGTTGACATTGTAAAAAAAAATATGCATGTATATAAACATAACAATAACACTTTGAAATTTATATACCAGAGTTGTTAACAAGGCCAAAAGTAGCAAGACCAAGGCCAAGGCCAAGACCATAAGTTACAAGACAAAGGTCAAGACCAAGGCAAAAATTTACATGGACAAACCAAGAGTTTTAAGGTCAAGGCCAAGGCTAAGAGTTTCAAGGCCAAGACGTACATAAAGCTTTTTTTTAGACTTAAGACTTCAATTTTTGCAATACGTTGAGGCCAACTCTTCACAAAACTGTAAGTAGTAAGTAATGTGAAAATAAAACCACATTTTAAAATTTTTATTTTTATCAAAACAATTAAAAATTTCAAAACCAAGGCCAGGGCCAACAGTTTCAAGACCAATGCTTAAATTTTTAGCCTTAAGGCCAGGCAACGGCTAAGACTAAAAACTCTGTATATAGCTAAGAATTGCAAATTCTCTTTCAGATTATTTTTTTACGCTTTAATAGTTATCTTGACTAGCACTACAAGTATTGAGCGAATTCTAATTTATTTATATCTAAAAATTTAAAACAAATTACATTAATCCATAAATAATACATTTTTTTAAAATGGCGTTGTGTAAACTGTTATGATTTAGCTGTTTCAGTTAAACGATAACTAAAAAAAAAAAGCAAAAAAAATACAAGTAGTACCATCAATGAAAGAGATTTTAAATCCATACAAAAAAGGGATCATTTATTGTGTTTATTTTGACAAAATATGAAATAAGTAAAGATAAAAGAAGTAGGCTAAGTAGATTTTTTCCCTGGATCTATTAAAGACCAACATTACACTGTATGCATAAAACCAGGTGGTAGATTTTTGTTCACTTTACCCTAAAAAAGTCGACTAAAGAAGAGAAAAAATGCCAAAATAGTTGATTAAATGGATGTTTTATAGTTTATAGTTGCCTATAATTTAATTAAATGGATGTTATTTAACTGAATTGATTTTTTGGTGACAAATCAATACAAACGTTTTTTATAATCGTTTCTTAAGATTGTGGATTTCTTTACATTTTCTAACAAAAAAAAAATTATAAATTATTTTGCTTGTTTCAAATAAATATGAAGCATTCTTGGATGGACCTCGACATCTGAGATTAAGTTCACGAACCTTTTTTATATGTTAATTATATATATGTTTTAATAAAGTATTTTAGTAGTTGTTTGTTTTATATTTTATTTATTAGACATTAACATACTTTCATATTATAGTCATTTTTTCTCTCTAAAAACATACTTTCATATTATAGTCATTTTTTCTCTCTAAAAACATACTTTCATATTATAGTCATTTTTTCTCTTTAAAAACATACTTTCATATTATAGTCATTTTTTCTCTCTAAAAACATACTTTCATATTATAGTCATTTTTTCTCTTTAAAAACATACTTTCATATTATAGTCATTTTTTCTCTCTAAAAACATACTTTCATATTATAGTCATTTTTTCTCTCTAAAAATATACTTTCATATTATAGTCATTTTTTCTCGTTAAAAACATACTTTCATATTATAGTCATTTTTTCTCTCTAAAAAAAGTAGATAATCCTATTAAGATATTTTCAGATCTCTTAATTAACAGATACGGAGTTTTCATCACGTTTTTACAAAAATGAATTTCTGCTTACTTTTAAAGCCAAATAAATCTCAATATTACTTTTTAAAACAAGTACTTTTATAAAACTTTCATAAAACTTATCATAATAAATATTATCAAATATTTTATGAAATTTTTTTTTAAATTGTTATTTTTTTATCCAAATTAGTCTCTTCGTTTTCTTTTTCTTTTTCTTTTTTCTTTTCGTTTTTTTAACAATATTTTTTGGTAAAATATTGTTGTACATAATATATAAGAACACAAAAACTAGAAAAGGATCGTAAGATTTTGTCACCAAGAACCATTTAACAATGCAATAATAATAAACCAATTGTTTCAAAAAAATATAAAATGAGAAGTATATACCGTATATCTCAATTATAAAAAACCGTTAAAAGGCCAAAAAATTAAAAAAAAAACAAAAAATATTTTAAATTACATCGGTGTATAATTCTCATTTTATATTTTTTTGAAACAATTGGTTTATTATTATTGTATTGTTAAACGGTTCTCGGTGGCAAAATCTTACGAACCTTTTTTAGTTTCTGTGTACTTCGGATAACACTTATAAAGGAGAAACGAGATCAGAAGAACTCGAATAGATTATCTATTGAGAAATTAATTTTTTTCAGTTTATTTTGTTGAAAAATTCCAATTTTGTGATAAAATCAATTTTTTTTTTAAAACTATTTGGTAAATTAAATCATCAATATTCTTTAAAAAATATATACATCTTTTTGTGATCTTTTGGGGGAAAATACATTTCACTGAAAACGTGCTAAACTTACGCAACTTTCCCCTATATGTTAAAAATATTCATTTCGAATAAAAATGGTTTTGCATGAGTAAAACGATCTTTAAAGTTTATTGGTCGTGCTAGATGCTTCTGTTGCAGATAAAGACAATCTTATCTAACTATGATTTTTTGTTGAAAACAATGCTAATCAGAACAGTAAGACATCATTTTAAATTTTTTCTTATAGATTTGGATTCCCCATATAATTCTATTCTAAAAGTTTTATTCCCTTTTTAAAATAAAAAAATGGACACACCCTATTGAGGTATCTCCTGACAAACTTTGCTAAGTTTTTATTTTGATAAAGTCAAACAAAAACTCAAATCTTAATATTAAAATATTAAAAATAAATTAATAATAATTTATAAAAGGTTGTTAAAAAACTTTTAATATTGTTGAGTAAACCCTTTTTTTATTTGTAATCTTCCATTTAAGTGTTTAGCATTTGAAGTAAGCACGAATTGTTTTAATATTTAAAGATGGCAATATTTCAACAATATTTAAAGATATTATGAAAATAACAAATTTTTTGGTGTACGTCCTGATGAGAAAATCAATTTTTAAAGGGGATCAGAGTAACTTTTTTCCCCTCCCCTTGCCTCCCTTTAATTATAAAAAAAAAAATTATACCATCTTTAGAAAAATCTAACATCAGACACGTATTTAAAAATTCAATAAAAAATATCTTGGTGTTCAAAAGATTTAAAATATTTAAAGTAAAACTACAAAAAATAAAGTTTACTTTACATTAAAATATAGTGTAATACTCATGATATAATAAAACTTAATCTGCAATATTATTGTATAACATTGTGTAACACAATAAAATTATACTTTATTTTATAGAAAAATATAAAATCATCTGCTATATATATAAATATATATATATATATATATATATATATATATATATATATATATATATATATATATATATATATATATATATATATATATATATATATATATATATATATATATATATATATATATATATATATATATATATATATATATATATATATATATATATATATATATACTCTCAAACAGTATAATATAATCTATAATATATACTGATATAATGTGATTTTTAAAACTATATAATATAATATACAAGATATGTATAATTATGTAATCAATAGCAAAGAAAGAACCTAAATTCTATGACTTCAATATTCAACTATTGCTTTTCTAAGAAGCTCTCCATGGTTCTATCTATTCATCATATTATGTTTTCAACATATTATGATGAATAGATTCAGAACATTGCTCAAAAAATACTCCCAATGGCAGCTTAGTTCTATTTAAAAACATGACAATATGGTGTTCAATTATATGACCTTTCCATCCCATTGAAAGATTTTGGTTGAATGTAGTCTTCACATACTCTTGGTTTTTCTAAATTAATAATTTAAAAGATGGCACTTAATATTAACAAAAATTAAAACTTTATTTTTAAATGTACGAGTTATTTATGCATTTATGTAACTATTACCTTTAACTTCCTTATATATGTTGCAATGGCATCAGCATAACCGTCATGGAGTTTCATTCCGAAACACATGTTTACTACTAAATGTAAATTTTAGTGTCATTTGGGAGAAATTGCTTTTGATTCAATGAATATTTCCTTTTAAATCAAAATTAACTTTTAATATATAAATACTTTGTTAAATTAAAAAAGTAAATTTAAAATTTACCTGTAGAAACTTTAGCAGAGACTTTAACAGTTCAATAACTGGATGGTAAGAAAAAAAGTTATCTGAGATAAATTTTTCCAAATCTGGCAAAAGCTTCCGTATTTTGTTAGCATTTCTACCATCCAGTTCACCTCCATTATACACATGCCAAATAATGCCATGTTTTTTTAACCAAAGAGCAATATCAGGTTCCTTACAGAAGACATTTGAAATTTCTGTTATAATCTTTATCATTAAATGAAGTTCTGGAGGAGGGATGACATCAAGCACATACATCTCTTCAGACTCAACCAGGAGACATGGATGTATAACATTCTTATAGAGATGCATAGAGCTTTTTTTAAATCCACTTCTAGCAAAGTTTTTATACATATTCTTAAGCATATTAAAGTTTCTCAGTTCTCCAAGATTAGTTTTATCACCATCATAAAATAAACATGAATATTTTCCCTCATGTTCTGACAAACTCAAAACTATGTTGCATAATTTAAGATCTGCAGCAAGGTAAAACTTTAAATTGTTTAGCTTTGTTTTTTCTATAAAAATTTAAGGATTTGTGTGGTTTTCGCAAACATTTTGGCAAAAACCAATATTATAACTTTGTTCACTTCAGTATTCTTGGTTTCTTTGGAGTTATAATTTACTTCTCTGTTAAAAACATTCATAATAACTCATAAAGATCCATGGCCACTATCTATTCCTACACGAATAATAACATTATCGATTTCTAGTCCCCTAGCAATGCAAACATGATTAACTAGTGATACTGGATCTTTGACATACACTAGATCTTTAATGAGAGTTTAAATAGTTTTATTTTCTTTAACTATATTTTTGGTTAAAAATTCCACTTTTTCAACTGAGTAATTGTTATCTAAAGCGTGTGACACTATCATTAATTCCATAGCTATTAAATCAATAATATTTTTTTGATATAATAGATGTTCAGGGTAGAGATTTAAGGGTTTGCTTATTCCCAATCTGCAGACTTGAAGGAGTTCCTCCAGTCGACAATAAAACAGTGTTGTCTAACTCAATATTTTTAAATTGTTAAATTTTTTTCAGTGATACTTTCTTAACTGTTTTTAAACCTGAAAACTTGTAAATATGTTTTAAGATTACGTAAAAATTTAGGTTTAAAAAAACTATAATTAAGCTCTTACCTGTTGTCATTAGCAGTGATTTTAGGTTCTGTAAAATGTCTCTCTTACTACAGGGATGTTGAATTCCAGATTCAATTCTCTGTTAACAAGTACAACAAATTTTATCAATGACCTCCTTTGGTACATCAGGGTCACTAATGTACATGTTTAATACATCCTAAATAAAAAAAAACTATACTTATTTAAAATATAGTTATTTAAACTATAATAAAAGTTATAATTGTATAAATGTTTTAAACGTAAATAATTAAGCTACATATATATATACATATATATATATATATATATATATATATATATATATATATATATATATATATATATATATATATATATATATATATATATATATATATATATATATATATATATATATATATATATATATGTATATATATCTATATATATATATATATATATATATATATATATATTTTAATTTTAATTCACCTCCTCAAGGCCGAGAAGGCCACTACAGACGAGGAGGCTACTTATTTGTGGTTATAACCCTCTCTTAACTCTATAACTCTAAAACACGAACCTTGACGAACAAGGCCGCTGCGCGGAGAAACAAGTTGAGCGCAGTACTACCAGGAACGTGGTGCGGATCGAACTCGGAACCACTCGTTTATGAAGCGAGCGCTCTACCACTACACCACTACGGCATTAATCCACAATATGAAATATGAGTTCTTTATAAATTACCTGAAGGTTTATAGATTTGGATTTATCTCTTGACATGATACAGATTTATATCAGGCTTGTGGAGCCGAGCCGGAGCCGGAGCCGGGGAGCCGCTGATTTTTGGTGGAGCCGGAGCCGCAAAAATTGAGCGGCTCTAGGCTCTCGTATTTTTTTTAACGGAATAGAATGTGTGTTTTTTTTACTGTAGTCATTTATTGTTAAACTAATTTGCTGAATGAACTATTTATTGAACTTCTATTTTTAGAAAAATTTTTTTTTTAACAGTTACGGTTATGCCTAAAATTAACAAAAGTGAATATTTTAACAATTTTGTGCTCAACAATTGTTGAGCACAAAATTGTTAAAAGTAAGCACAAGACGCATTTTAGACACTTAAAGACGTCTAAAACTAGTCTAGGTAAAGACGCACTTATATAGACGTTTTAAAGGCATCTTTTAGACGTCTTTTATGAATGCGTTTTTAAAATGACCTTTAAAAGGCGTCTTTTTAAAAGATAAAAAGACGTCTAGAAGACGTCAATTTTTAAGACATCTTCTAGACGTCTTTTATAAAGGCGTTTTTAAAATGACGTTTAAAAGGCGCCTATTTAAGCGTTAAAAAAACGTCTAGAAGATATCTTTTTTTAAGACATCTTCTAGACGCCTTTAATAAATGCGATTTTAACATGACGTTTAAAATGCGTCTTTTGAAAGTTTAAAAATACGTTCAAAAGACGCGTAATAAATAGTCTAAAATACGCATTAAAAGACGTCTAGATCAAAGCTAAAAGACGTCTTTTCTGAGACCTGTTTATAAATATGTCATTATGACTTCTTTTTGACGGCTTTGTCATTACGCGTTAAGTAGATGTCGTATATTCAAAGTAGAAACATGGTTTTTATTATTTTTAATAATTTTTTCAAGTTTTAAGTGTAAATTACTTTAAATTAAATTACTTTTTTACACCATTGCTAAAATTGTTGTCACAGGAATCACTAAAATAATTGCTATAATAATATATCTTTTTTTTATTAATAATTATTTTGCTTTTTTAATTGGTAGTTGACTGATCATGATAATAAGTGAAAATGGCAAGAATAATATATAAGTTAAATATCAGTACTTTTAGTTTTTATACACCCACAAGCCATATAATACGTCAAGTATGCGGTCAAAAATTAGCAAAGATATAATTTTAATATATCTAAAGGTAAGTTATAAATGTATTAAGTACTGTTTTGATATATAATTGTTATTGTTATGTATTATTTTTATCTTTGATGCATCAACCGTTGGTGGTGATTACAGCAATATTATTTTGACTGCTGGTACTTATGTATATTTTGTATATACGAAATTATAACAATATATGTTGTTATAAATACAATGAATTTATACCACATACTACGCAAAAATGTTACGTCATGTACTTAAATTTTTCTTGAAAAAAACGTCTAACATACGTCTAAAACACGTTTTTATAAAGACGTCTTCATTTAGACGTCTTTTAGCCTTATGATCTAGACGTCTACAAGTGCGCCTTTTAGACCTCCTTAAAGACATCTTTAAAACGTCTTTTAAACGTCTTTGTGCTTACTGGGAAAGTACTATCCCAGTAAGCACAAGACGCATTTTAGACACTTATAGACGTCTAAAACTAGTCTAGGTAAAGACGCACTTTTATAGGCGTTATAAAGACATCTTTTAGACGTCTTTTATGAATGCGTTTTTAAAATGACGTTTAAAAGGCGTCTATTTAAGCGTTAAAAAAACGTCTAGAAGATATCTTATTTTAAGACATCTTCTAGACGTCTTTAATAAATGCGATTTTAACATGACGTTTAAAATGCGTCTTTTTAAAGTTTAAAAATACGTTTAAAAGACGCGTAATAAATAGTCTAAAATACGCATTAAAAGACGTCTAGATCAAAGCTAAAAGACGTCTTTTCTGAGACCTGTTTATAAATATGTCATTATGACTTCTTTTTGACGGCTTTGTCATTACGCGTTAAGTAGATGTCGTATATTCAAAGTAAAAACATAGTTTTTATTATTTTCAATAATTTGTTCAAGTTTTAAGTGTAAATTACTTTAAATTAAATTACTTTTTTACATAATTGCTAAAATTGTTGTCACAGGAATCACTAAAATAATTGCTATAATAATAATATATCTTTTTTTATTAATAATTATTTTGCTTTTTTAATAGATAGTTGACTGATCATGATAATTAGTGAAAATGGCAAGAATAATATATAAGTTAAATATCAGTACTTTTAGTTTTTATACACCCACAAGCCATATAATAAGTCAAGTATGCGGTCAAAAATTAGCTACAAATAGGTATGAAAAATTTTTTATAACTAAAGGTTAGTTGTAAATGTTTCAAATACTGCTTTGATATATATATGTTAATGTTTTTTATTATTTTCATCTTTGATGCATCAACCGTTGGTGGTGATTACAGCAATATTATTTTGATTGCTGGTTCCTATGTATATTTTGTATATACGAAATTATAACAATATGTTATAAATTCAATGAATATATACCACATACTACGCGAAAATGTTACGTCATGTACTTAAATTTATCTTGATAAAAACGTCTAACATACGTCTAAAACGCGTTTTTATAAAGACGTCTTCATTTAGACGTCTTTTAGCCTTATGATCTAGACGTCTACAAGTGCGCCTTTTAGACCTCCTTAAAGACATCTTTAAAACGTCTTTTAAACGTCTTTGTGCTTACTGGGATCCTTTAAAAAAATTTCTTAATATTCTTTATATAAAAAAAAGGAAATTATAAATGAAAACATTACAATGATCCACATATTGCTTTATATTATATTTTTATACTGATATTATGCTGTTAAATATTTAATGCGCAATTTAATGATCAAAGATTATTGATATCTTTAAAATTAAACTAAAGCATACGATCGTTTAATTTGAAACAATAAATTTCGTGTAAAACTTGTCACTAACACATTATTAAATTATTTTTTCCCGTAATTACATAAAGTAATTATGGTATTAATTAAAAACATCAACAAACGAATCAAAATGTTGCTCTTAATTAAAATGTTATTGAAACATTTAGAAAAACAAAAAAAATTCTGCACAACTATTTACAAAGTCCTTCTACATCGTTAATTTCAATTGCTAAGGCATCTGAATCTAGAAAAACTACTGTTTGCATTGTCATAAAATAATACAAGAGCTCTCTATCTATCAAACAAGCAAAAGGATCTGGGTGAAAGAGTAGCTTTAAGGATAAGAAAACCGAATTTAGTATTCATCACGCAAAACCCCGATCATTCACGCAAAACCCCGGCTTATCAAACAGAGTGCGAGCCAAAGGATATAAAGTTTCAGAGCTTTTTAAAGATTAAAATTTGTCAAGCAATATGCAGCTTCAGACTGAAATCTCGAGCTTTTGTCACATCGTCAATTTTAAACTTGAATGTTTACATCAAAGAATACTTGCAAGCTAGACTTTTGGAATTTTATCCAAGTCACAATGTCCCTTGTTGGTTCTAGCCTAATCTTGCTTCTTGTCATTATTCTAAGAAGAGTGACATCAAATTCA